GAGGCAGGGGAAGCCGATGCAGGCCGGGACCAGGTACAGCAGAGCGGGCTACACACACACACACACACACACACACACACACATAACGGGTCAGTCAAATGGGTTTTGTAGCGTTGAATGTTGCTTTATAGTCAAATAGAAACTCACGACTGACACTTTCCCTTGGTAAACAAGTCACAGTGTAAATAGATTAAACAAAGTTCAATGTCTGAAGAGCAGATACACATGTAGAGTGTACAAATGATTGAGCCGAATAAAAACACCTCATTTGTTTTTGCTTTTTAAGCTGGTTATGAATTTGTATTACACAGCTTTGTGTATTATTCAATTCTGAAGGGTCGATTACTTTTTTAATAAGGAACATTTTATTAATTGCAGCTTCTAGTTCCTGAAGCTTTTTTATAGCAGGGGTTATTTGTTTGAAAGGGGGAAAATGTCTGTGTGGAAACTTTAATACCAACGTGTTATGAGACATTAAAAACAAATAACCTTGAAAATATTGTTTTCATTTCTTGGATTACACTTTGAAGAGCATCAACATCCCAGCAAGTGTTTTAGATTAAGCTCCAGATGCTTTTCTATGCCGAAAATAATAAAACAATGTGCTTTTTTTTTTTTTTAATAGTGCATGACCTCTGACCCCTTCCCTCATACCTGTGCGTGTTTGAAGGTGTGCATGACGAAGATGGTGAGGCCCAGTCCGAAGATGTAGGCCAGGAAACTGGAGTAGAAATACGTCTTGCTTTGCTTCTTTAGGCTGCAGGAAGAAAGAGAACGTCTTAATACGAGAAGAAGCAGCAGAAGCAAAAGAAGGATGGGAAGAAGATGAGGAGAGTTGGTGTTACCTGACGTCGAAGCGCAGCAGCAGAGCGATGAAGATTCCTGGGATGACGATGTCCCCGAGACCCAGCATGGCAAAGTTACTGGCGTCAAGTCCTCTCTCCAGTAAGTCCTGAGGAAACACCACTGGAGGAGAAAGAGAGAGAAATACAACTTTAGAGATAAAACCATTGTCTGAAATGAGCTTGTTGTAGTGAGGAAAGGTGTCTCAGACAGGTTGTGACCACTGTGGGCTCTTAATACCCACAGCAGCGTGAGCAGCACTGAGGCGGTGACTCATGTACTCGGAGATATTCGTGCAGGTATTCAGAACAACCTCACATACTCACATTTGATTGGTGCTTCAAAGGACTTGGCAACTGTTACCATGACGTTGGTCCCAAACACCTGGGGACAAAGAAAGAAATAGAAAAAGAACAATTATGTACAATTTTAGTTTTGTTTAAAGGCTTCTTCTCCAATTGAAGTTTGCAGATAAAACTCGTTTTTAATCCCAGTGGGAGATGCAACTACAAAGTACTTTCTGTGCGTTTCCTTTTAATGCCATGCAAGTAGAGCAATAATGAATGGAAAACATGGTGGGAGGAGCTAAGACAAGAAGCCTCTACTTGCTGTCAGCCAATCAGAGCACTTAGTTTTTAGCAATTTAAAGAGTTAGAGTAAGATTTTCATGACGGTAAATGTAAGAGGCCCAAAACACAAATATGAGCTGAATAGGAGCACTCATTTTGTGAATAAACTTAAAATGCTGTTATTTAGATGCTGAACTTTAAAGTAATTTAAGTATAGTGTTTTTTATGTCTGAGTGAATGTGTGTGAGGAAGGTAATCTCACCCAGAAGACGTCGTACACGAAGAGCCCCCCCAGCAGGATGCAGCCGGTGCTGACGTTGTTCAGGTGGAGCAGCTCCACTCCGTTCAGAGCGAACGCCAGGCCAAACAGGTTGTTGGCTATCCAGTGCTGCGATGCAAACACACACACACAGGTTAGATGTGTTTGAGCTGTAATGATAAACTATTATCTTTCTTGATGATCTAATGCCAGGAAAGTGGATCGTATCACTCCATTTTTTGAGGATTTAGTTTGTATAAAAAGATCCAAGAAAACGGCAACCCATCTTCATCCTTGTATAGTCCGGTTGAATCGAACCCTGGTGCGTTTAGCCGCTTGGTGCGGTTCATCTGGGTCGGTGTGAACACAATCCGAGACCTCTTAAGTGAACTAAACAACCGGACTCTGGTCCGCCTAAAAGAGGTTGTCTCGGAGCGCTTGCTTGCGAACTCTGGAGCGGTTCATTGCTGGTGTGAACGCAGTCCGCACCAAAACATAGGAAGCGTAGTATTTACGTCTCACAAGAACGCGGATATCTTCAAAAATCTTTAGCGAAAGATTCTTTCAAGACCTCCGCGGTTGTTTAGGTAAAGAGTGAAGCAGAATTAAGTGTTGAACAGTGTCGTGTGAAGTAAAAATTCTCCGTCAGCTACATAAAAGTAAAGGCCCAGATACACCGGCTAGTCACCTGAGAAGTCGCCGACGCCGACTGTTGCATCGCCGGACTCTCCTGCGTATTTGCCGACTTCGCGCACTGGAACACACCGCAAATCCGAGCCGAGCACGTATGAACTGCGCATGCGTGAGTGGCAATAACTCTCCTTACCAGCAGGCGGCGGTAGTGTGTATTCATCATTCAAAAGAGGCAACAACCGGAACAACCGGAAGACAGAGAAGAAGAACAGACTCCGTGATATAAACAAACAACAAATAGCGTTTTTCTTTCCATTTTCACTC